ACACTATAGCCATAACCACCGAGGTCCAAAACCAACAACTATGAACTCCATGCACAGTCCTCAACTCAATAATAAAGAATAACACTATTCTTCAATAACACGGCAGAATATTCCAAAAATTAGATTGGTATCACTGAATTCATGATCAACAACTCAAAAATCCCACCGCTGACACCAAACTTTCTACGTGACGGTCAAGTTGTTAAGACTCTGTGTCCAAACTCAACTTGAAAATAACCTATGGTAGCGTGGTAACCTTCACAAAAGAATCGTTGGGTAGTAGACTATTGCCTACTACCCAAATACCGATGACTTAGTTGCACCAACCAAGCACCTGGGTTCAAAATCTATCAATTTAACTAAGAGACAACTATAATTCAGAAATACAGGTACAAACTCGGCCGTTTAATGAATAGACAAATAATGCATGAAGTGTACATTATTTCAACTCACTCACTATCTCAGAATTCCATTAATTATACAACTTCTAGTTAATTATTAAAAAAATCTCTCTCATTTAATACTTGTATGAGAATATATCAAACCCATTTCTCACACCTGTGAGAATCTCAAAATCACATCTCATTAAATCTCCAACTTCTTGCAATGTGAACCAACTGTAATTAATAAACAATCTGTTGAACACTTCAAGATTTTAACTTGCATCAAATGTATACATAAATCTCACATCCGTAAACAATAATCTCTTACAAATGAAACGCGTACACCCAATATCCACAATCTGAATGGTAGAAAAAGTATTAACTTCCCCATGTAAAACAGGTACATGTAAAGGTACAAACTCCTGAAATATAATCCCGAATAAGTTCTACATAACACGCATCCCTTTCCTAAACACATTTGGACAATTCCTGGCATTTCTCGAAATATCCCTTAAGTTCCAATGGTGACAGTCATAGTTAGGGGTGGGCTCAAGGCGACTCCCATGTATCCATGTGAGATAATCATGGACAAGCTTATACATGTATCACACCTAAACTACATAATATAAACCACAAACAAGTTCAGGAACTGAAGTAACGCCTCTTTTTTCATCACTCAAATACAAACCTGACACAGCAAAGCTACATACATAGACAGACAGACGCAGACTGACGGTTTCAGCAACTGTTTGTCAAAACCTAGCAACTTGGAGTTTCTTTACGTGCTAATATAGCTAATGCTTGAAATAGCTTGAAATAGCTGGATTACTCTCCAACCAGAGTTGAAACAATCTTAGCTCTATTAATCGTAATAAACCCCAACAACAACATGGACATAACTCTAATAACTCCCATACCTTAACTAAGAACGAAACTAACTTTCATTTGAAGAGCTCCACTTTCTGCCATTTACTAACAATATCACTGTCCCTAGTTACATGTGCTTCTGTTAACTAGTGACGTGATGTTTTCACAAGTAAATCACTAATTCAGCTGTATTGAATGAATCTTCTATCTTTCATTTCAACTGGAGAAGCTTTCCCAAGCATTACACGGATATTAATATGCATTTTAAAAGACAAAACACCATTTTGTCACACAACTATCTGGACATATTTTTTCATTCTCTCCAATCTCACTGCATTGCATGATGTTTCATATATGGAAGTTGCCTTAGTTCGAATAGTAGAATTACTAGCAACATCTTTTATTGACTTTCCATACTTCGCTGACAATATTTCGTTAAATGAAAGAATAAACTGAGTTTTTTACACAAGCCATTGAAAGTAGAACCTCATTAAATAATGAAACTGAGCTATTTGCACAATGTGACTAGATGAGAGTGGTGGAGGGCCGGAAATAAGTACAGTATGGATGGTCATCAAGGTATCGCTGCAAGGACCTGGCGGAGAACCAAATAATACAGGGAGAAAGTTTAATTTCAATAATTGAACATTCAAAACCTATGTGTATATCTCCTCTTCTGACACCAAACCTGGATATTTTATCAAATGTTGACAATACTTTCCCCGATGATACGTTGTATACGGTATTGTTCAATAACAAAACTCAAAGTTCAAACTTAAAAGAAAACACCAGGGTCGAGAAGAAATCATGCATGTAAAACAAACAAAAACATAACGCCAAAAAGAGACAAAAATATCGTAAACTTCTATTTGTCAAAAGATATATATTGTTACAAAAAATATAAACTGTTACAAAAGATATTATACTTCCATAAAAGATATTATTTGCTTTTAAATTGTATCCTATATTTTACAAAAATATATAAATTACTGCCACAAACAATATCTTATGTATTTCTAAATTAATCTCTTATTTTCATAAAACATAAAATATTCCCACAAACGATCTATTCCCACAAGCGTTCATATTCCCACAAAAGATATATTTTACAAAATCATTTCTATGTGATTAAAATATAATATTTCTTGTTCTTCCGTTTGATGTTGCACAAAACAAGAGGCCCAAGGGCCTTAGCGGTCACCTGAGTTATATCATAGGTACTGGTAGCTTTATTTCAGTGTTTAGATGTGATGTGGAAATCAGCATGTAAACTAAGTGAAATACAATACTTGTCATGTCATCAAAGGATAGGAATTTTAAAATATTGGTAAATGTTCCCTTTGGGACCCCTCCCTAGCCCCTGGGGATGGGGCAGGAATTCTGCTGAAAATGGATAAAATCTATTCAAAAGTGTTATTTGCATATATATTCTATAGTAAACTATAGAACGGATGGCTCAGGGGTCCTGAAATTGACAATTTCAATAAAGCTCCTGATGATCTTTCTATCCATGCACTGAAATTGACTGTAGTACCTCCGAGTCTGGAGAAGAATATTTTTGAAATATTGGCAAACTTTCCTTTTGGGGCCCGTTCTTGCCCCTAGGGTTGGGGTAGGAATCCCAATTTTACATTTTAAAACCATCTTCCTCCAAGGAAAATTCTCACCAAGTAAGAATAATTTCCTACAGAAAATTGTCAAAATATACCCAAAAGTGTTGTTTCCCTATATAAACTATAGTAAACTTTACCCCCTCCCCATGGGAGAACTGATAGCTCGGGGGTCGTGAAATTTAAAATCTAAATAAAGCCCCTGATGACATTTCCATCCATGCAGAGAAAATGACTATAGTACCTCTGAGTCTGGAGAAGAAGATTTTTGAAATATTGGTAAACTTTCCCTTTGGGGCCCGTCCTGGCCCCTAGGGTTGGGGTGGGAATCCCAATTTTACATTTTAAAACCATCTTCCTCCAAGGAAAATTCTCATCAAGTAAGAATAGTTTCATACAAAAAATTGTCAAAATATACCCAAAAGTGTTGTTTCCCTATATAAACTATAGTAAACTTTACCCCCTCCTCAAAGGAGAACGGATAGCTCAGGGGTCCTGAAATTTACAATTTAAATAAAAGCCCCTGATGCTCTTCTATCCATACAGAGAAAATGTCTGTAGTACCTCTGAGTCTGGAGAAGAAGATTTTTGAAATATTGGTTAATTTTCCCTTTGGGGCCCCACCCTGGCCCCAGGGGTTGGGGTAGGAATCCCAATTTTACAATTTTGTAGCCTCTTCTACCAAGGATGATCCTGACCAAGTTTAAAAAAAATACATCTAATGGTTCTTGAGAAGAATTTCAGAATGTAAAAAGTTCACGGCGGACGACGGACGACGGACACCAACGGACACCGACGGACGGAAAGTAATCGGAATAGGTCACTTGAGCAAAGCTCAGGTGACCTAAAAACCTTGTTAACACTCTCTTTATTTTAATTTACTCGACACACAGAACCATCATGAACCACCACTCGTTAGTTGCTTCATTATAGCATGGATGACAATACGTAATTTTATCTACGTTGAAAAGGTAATACAAGCAAGTTTAAGTAATTACAAATAAGCCTGGTAAAGTTATAAGATTACAAGACTCTTTCAGGTCCAAGGGTGTAGGATAGGGAAATTCCACCCGAGGGGTTTGCCGAAGGTTTTACCTTTGAAAACCGCGAGGGGGGAATTTCCCTATCCTACACCCTTAGGCATAAAAGAGTAGTTTTCTCTCATTCCAACTACCTGCGTTAAGACTGACTACCATTTTGAAAATACAAATTTTCCCCTAAGCTATTTTGACGAAAACGAATTCATCAGCGATGTTAAGCATACCCCATATTTGCAAACTGAGTTTGCGCAGAAAAAATAATCTCATCTTTCTAACGTGACGGTAATTATATCGTAAAAGGTTTTAATCATCACGTTGCCTTTTTCTGCATTGCGGCATAGGTATTTTCCAAATTCGTGACGTCACGTCATTGTTGAGCCATTGTGATGTCACATCACGTGTAATGGGGTGTAAGATAGAAATTTCCTACGCCCCTTTCTTACCATGGGCAGCTCTATCTTACACACACGGAAATGAGAGAGAAAAATGTATATTCACTGACACATTCGAGACGCTTTCTGTGAATCATGTTGTGTACATGTCAACAGCAAGAATTGATCATTTGTCCTATCCACTATAAAGGTCACACTGAATAAAACCCCAGTTCTGAGAAGAATACAAATCTACTTTCGAAAATGTTACCTTTAACAAATGTTTTTATTGTTTGTTTATGCTGATCAAGAAAAACTAACCTGATATCAATTCATAGTTTGGCATTGAGCTTTTCTGAAACATACATTATATATTTGGTTTAACAATGTGAATATAATGTGACACCTCAAAAAAAAAATATGATCAGTGAGGTTAGATGTTTAAAATGTTGTTCGAAAATCATGATGAATGCACTGAACATGATTAACCAGTTTTAATGATGGTAGACTGACTGACACACGTCAAAAACTGTTCATGTAATAAAAAATATATATGTGCGATTCATCGGATATTGGTCTAAACATCTTCCTTGTTGTTTTTGCTTTGACATTAATAGCTTGCCCTTTCAGCTTAATACTCTAAGCTTCTGAGAAACATTAAATTAGGCGTGACGATTCACGTATATAAATTAATACGTTGATATTTGATTATTTAAGTTCATTGTCGGGGCGAGGAATCTAACAATGGAAAGACTAGGAATACAGTTTTCGCTTGTAAGTTTTATAAAAGAACGTTTGAAATGTGTTTGTCGTAAAATCATAGAGGTCTATTGCATTCTTTAATGTTAAATAACGACTGTTTATATGAATTATATTCAACCTAGAAATATTGACATGTGTTTGTCGTTATATCATAGAGAGTTGCTACACTCTTTAAATGTTAAATATTGGCGAATGTAATGAATTATATTCTGTCCTAGAAATATTGAAATGTGTTTGTCTTTATGTTTATAGCGAGTACACTCTTTAAATGTTAAATATCGGCGTTTTTTATGAATTATTCCAACTTAATAAATGTTGATATTAACCTTTATAATTTATATATAAAAATATATATGCACATCTCAGATATTTCTTAAGTAATAGAGTCGTCCACTTTTTTCGAAACATTCTCCTTAGGTTGGTTGATATGGATTGTGAAGAGATTCTTGTAGCTCCGATGACTAGTACGTTTTGTATTCTGTTACTTTCATCAGACAAATGAACAGTGAAGCGTATGCACACAAATATGTAAAATATCTACGAGCTGCGCCGTAAGCGTATGTACAATTGGTTGTTCTATAGTTACCGAAATGGCTCGATTCAGCTACGCTTTGTTTAATGCCTGGTCAAAGATGTGCGGAAGGCTTATTGACGAAAATTCATTTCACATGATGTTCTCTCTCTCTCTTTACGAACACACAATTTGATGATGCAACGCTTAGACTTAGACAGAACCTGGCATAAGAACACAAACCTCCAGATCCAGGACATTATTGATTTGCTGGAATTTGTGCTGTGAACAACATCTTTTAGTTTCCGAGACAACATCTATCAGCAGCGCTTCGGCACTAATATGGGTAGTCCAGTGTCTCCCATTGAGGCCAACTTGTTGATGGAACATCTGGAGTAAGAAGCAAAAGCCACTGCTCCGATGTTGACGAAATACTTGAGATATCAAGAAGGGATCACAAAAGGATTTGACCACCTATATCAATACCACAGATGACACTTACAACAGCAAATGTACATGTGGAAGAAACCAATGACACAGTGCCTTTCCTAGACACTCTTCTGGTAAGGAAAAAAGACGAAACAATGAAGGTATTGGTCTATAGAAAAAACATACGGACCAATCCCTGAACTTCAAACCTCACCATCCTTTGCACTTGAAGTTATGCGTCGTCTGCACATTGCTAATATACAGATTTGATACAATTGTCACAGAACAATAGGACAAAACACTAGAGCAATTAAACCCTGTGCATATCCGGAATGGGACCTAAAACGGATACAGAAACAGTGTCAAAGTAAGGGGAAGAACAATAGAAGGCCAATCAAGGATAAGAACAAAATCAAAAGGTCAGGTTTTTATTCCGTATATGAAAATTATCCGAAACCACCCAGATGAGATATCACGTTTATGGCATAGCAACATCCATGAAGACACACACGACGTTTCTTGTCCTAGTACACCCAAAGGATAAAACTCCTACAGAAAGCGTCGCAGAATGCGTGTACAAAATCGGATGCAAAACCTGAGACACATTGTATATTGGGAAGACTGGAAGGCGTTTTGGAACCGCCTTGGCGAACACTGGAATGATACGAATCCCCAAAAGGGAAAGAAATTCACCCGATGAGAAAGGAAGCAGTTAGATCAATAAATCGGCAATTACAGACCATACCACAGAGAAAAATCATGTGATTGACTGGGATAACTACAAAGTATTGGATAGAGGGAGATACATTTATTGGACAAAAAGAGTAATCTGTTCAAGCGGCAGATAAAGGAAGCCAGCTTGATACGCTGCAATCGTCCATTTATGAATCGAAATGAGGGGGCTCATAGAGTCTCACACATCTGTGACCAAGTATTAAACAAACTGTAGCTGAATCGAGTCATTTCGGTACATCTATAACAACTTATTGTACATACACTTACAGCGTAGCCGAATCGACATCGATTTGTAGACAACTCGTACATATTTTACACCATTGTGTACATACGCTTCACTGGTCATTTGTCTGATGAAGGTGACATGTACATACCGTACTAGCTATCGAAACGTCACAAAGAAACTTTTTTGGTTGTGCTACATGAATCTTTTCCCAATCAATAGTCGTTCACTCATTTTTCCTTTCAGGTTTTGATGCTTATATTTTGTCAAGTGTCAAGGAGTCAGTTTCCTTTTTATGAAAAATACCGTAATCCTGGCATTCAGTGGTATTCCCGGCAATTATGCAGGGTATGTATCTTTACACAAATTGAGCACGGTATCATACAATATACAATGCTAAAATGTACACGTGATTTTGATATAAATATAAATATCAAACGGACGATTGTGAATCTTAAAATACTCCCAAAAAGCGAAAGAAGACCTTACGAGGATGGTGAGGAGGGTGTATATTTCTTGTCTTTTTCTTTTGAAGTGTTCATGTTTATTTTTTTGTTAATTTGTAAATATTTCTTTTCTTCATATGTTGCATTACAGTTTCTACTATTTTTAGTTCTGATACAGTTTTGTTTAAGCATTTTTAATTTATAGTATTTCTCTTAGTACTGCCGTGCCTCCGTGTCCATGTCGTGTCTCCTTTGACACTAACATACCCAGTGTTTCTCTCATCACTACTATGTCCAAGTGTTTTCGTTATCTCTTCCATGTCCCTAGTGTTTACCTTGTCCGATCTGTCTTGACCTTTAGGTAACATTTCTCGGAATTTTACACTGCGATGTATTCATCCGCACGTTAACTACTTGAAATCGACAATTTGCATTGTAAATGTTCTGTTTTGTCGTTATATGTATATTTTTGATGTTGTTAGATGTATGATGTTGTAGATAAAATATAATCTACACTGTGAAATACATTGTAATCTATGTAAGGACGGTCTACATTTTTACGCGGAAGCATTCAAATGCAGCTTTAGAAGTGAAGAGGTCGTTATCATTTAAGGCCCAAGGCGGAATATTTGTAGCTTTTAGCAAAGTTGAATAGTTCTTTTCGAGCTAAAAGATGCGAAAAAAAAATCAATTACCTGTAACTGAGCAAGTTGGGTTATTTCAGTCTCGGGCTAAGATTCGCCTCGGTTGGGATTTTGTTACAGAATCTTAACCATCGACCGAGATAACCCGATCTCGCTCATTTACAGGTAAAATATTTTATTAGTCTCTTTCATATTTCCGAAGTTTCATTGTCTCTTCCGTGTCCCAAAGATTCCCTTGTATGTCCGCAAAGTTTCCCTTGTCTCTTCCGTGTCACGAAAGTTTCCCTTGTCTCTTCCGTGTCCCGAAAGTTTCCATTGCATCTTCCATGTCCCCGATGTTTCCATTGTCTCTTCCATGTACCGATGTTGCCTTGTCTCTTTCGTGTCCCAAATTTTTTCTTATATCTTACATGTCATCAAAGTTTCCCCTGTCTCGTCCGTTTCTCCAAAGTTTCCCATATTTCTTTAGTGTCCCAATCCCACGTTTCCTTGTCTCGTCCATGTCCCCATTCAATGTTTTCGTTGTCACCTCCGTGTGCCAAGTTTCCCTTGTCGCTTCCTTATCCCCATTTTTCTATGTCTCTTCCGTGTTCTAATCCGTTGTTTTCCTCGTCTCTTCCATGTCCCCATGTTGCCTTGTCTCTTCCGTGTTCCAAAGTTTCCCTTATATCTTCCATGTCCGCAAAGTTTTCCTTGTCTCATCCGTGTCTCCAAAGTTTCCCCTTTTTTTACAATGTACCAATCCATTTTTTTCATTGTCTCTTCCATGTCCCCGATATATTCATTGTCTCTTCTATGTCCCCATCCAATGTTTCGTTGTCACCTCCGTGTCCCATGTTTCCCTTGTCGCTTCCATGTACCCATGTTTCCTTATCCCTTCCGTGTCCCAATCCGATGTTTCCATTGTCTCTTCCATATACCTATGTTGCCTTGTCTCTTTCGTGTCCCAATTTTTCCCTTATATCTTACATGACCGCAAAGTTTCCCTTGTCTCGTCCGTTTCTCCAAAGTTTCCCATATTTCTTAAGTGTCCCAATCCCACGTTTCCTTGTCTCGTCCATGTCCCCATTCAATGTTTTCGTTGTCACCTCCGTGTCCCATGTTTCCCTTGTCGCTTCCGTGTCCCCATGTTTCCTTATCCCTTCCGTGTCCCAATCTGATGTTTCCATTGTCTCTTCCCTGTACCGAGGTTGCCTTGTTTCTTTCGTGTCCTAAATTTTCCCTTATATCTTACATGTCATCAAAGTTTCCCCTGTCTCGTCCGTTTCTCCAAAGTTTCCCATATTTCTTTAGTGTCCCAATCCCACGTTTCCTTGTCTCGTCCATGTCCCCATTCAATGTTTTCGTTGTCGCTTCCTTATCCCCATTTTTCTATGTCTCTTCCGTGTTCCAATCCGTTGTTTTCCTCGTCTCTTCCATGTCCCCATGTTGCCTTGTCTCTTCCGTGTCCCAAAGTTTCCCTTATATCTTCCATGCCCGCAAAGTTTCCCTTGTCTCATTCGTATCTCCAAAGTTTCCCTTGTTTCTGCAATGTACCAATCCAATGTTTTCATTGTCTCTTCCATGTCCCCGATATATTCATTGTCACTTCCATGTCCCCATGTTTCCTTATCCCTTCCGTGTCCCCATTCAATGTTTTCGTTGTCGCTTCCTTATCCCCATTTTTCTATGTCTCTTCCGTGTTCCAATCCGTTGTTTTCCTCGTCTCTTCCATGTCCCCATGTTGCCTTGTCTCTTCCGTGTCCCAAAGTTTCCCTTATATCTTCCATGTCCGCAAAGTTTCCCTTGTCTCATTCGTATCTCCAAAGTTTCCCTTGTTTCTGCAATGTACCAATCCAATGTTTTCATTGTCTCTTCCATGTCCCCGATATATTCATTGTCTCTTCCATGTCCCCATGTTTCCTTATCCCTTCCGTGTCCCAATCCGATGTTTCCATTGTCTCTTCCATGTCCCCGACATATTCATTGTCTCTTCTATGTCCCCATCCAATGTTTCGTTGTCACTTACATGTCCCATGTTTCCCTTGTCACTTCCATGTCCCCATGTTTTCGTTGTTACTACCATGTCCCCATCCTGCCCTTGTCACTACCATGTCCCCATTTTCCCTTGTCACTACCATGTCCCCATTTCCCCTTGTCACTACCATGTCCCCATTTTCCCTTGTCACTACCATATACCTTTGTGTTGTCGTGACAATCTTGCTACTTCTATGTACCCTTGTAACTACCATGTCCCCATTTCCCCTTGTCACTGCCATGTCCCCATTTTCCCTTGTCACTACCATGTCCCCATTTTCCCTTGTCACTCCCATATCCCTTTGTGTTGTCGTGACAATCTTGCTCCTTCTATGTCCCCTTGTCACTACCATGTCCCCATTTCCCCTTGTCACTACCATGTCCCCATTTTCCCTTGTCACTACCATGTCCCCATGTCCCCTTGTCACTACCATGTCCCCATGTCCCCTTGTCACTACCATATACCTTTGTGTTGTCGTGACAATCTTGCTACTTCTATGTCCCTTTGTCTCGTTTGTTATCATCATGCCATTGTTTGTGTTTAGTCACTCCTGTCATAATCAAGTTTCTTTGTCTTTTTTGTCGCTACCAAGCCCCATGTCTGTGTTACTACTATCACGTCACGGTGATTCCCGGTCAAAATCATGTTCCTTGATTTGCTCGTATCTCTCTTGTTACTGTGATGTCCCCTTGTTTATGTCATGTCTCTTTTGTCACTTCCAAGGCCCCGTGTCTATGTTGCTACATTCATGTCCGAGTGCTCATGCTGTCAATAGCATTTTCGGTGTCTTTGTCAAGTCTCTCGTGACATTGCTCTGTCCCCGTGTCTTTATCTTCATATGTATTGATACAACAATGCACCGGTGTCTCTTTTCTAATTAGACACGAACCATATCTCGCTATCCATTCCGTCTTTGCATATTGCAGAGTTATCTTCTCCTGGGAGCAGGGATTGATTGTTACGTCACTTGTTTGTGAGAGTAACGTCATCAATTTTTGAGAAAACGACGTAATTTTCTCACACAAACCAATGACGTAACAATCAATACCTGCTCCCAAGAGAAGATAACTCTGCAATACTCAAAGACGGAATATCGCGTACCTCTTCACATTACCGGGTACCATGTCTTTCAAGCACGACAGTTCTTCGCCAAGGATAACCACATCCCAAATTAAAATCAACTTTAGAAAGACATTACATCACTTTGAGACATTTCATTTTTCAGCGATCAACATTTCATAAAAAAATGAGACCGTAAAGCCAGCATCTTGGCTGTTTTCTGATATTGCGGTAGAAATGATATCTATAGTAACCAATCTAATATCTTTGATAATTATACAGTCAGTCTACACATATTGCAGCGTAGCGTATCTTCATTTTATAATATATGATATGTCCTGTTTTCCAGAACCCGCGATGCGGTTTTGAGGAACTTTGTGAATTTCAAACTTTGCCATGCTTAATCCCGACATGTGTTAGTATACCAGTGCCAGTGTGTACGCCAGTAGGTAAGTATCATGTCTGCCTTGTTAATAACACTTCCGCACGAGATGTATTTATGGTGTATGCTTTATATATATAGTAATCGATTATTACACAGTATTTTCAGGGTTTGTCGTGATAAAATCATTCTGTATAGGGTTAATCCCCTTGTGTAAAGGATATATCTCTGTCGGTTATAATAAAAGTTTTATCTTGTATAAAGCATTTACGTATATAAAGGAAACTTGCCTATGTTAATTATTGTCATTTTAGTTTCCTTTACACTTTCATATTTCATCAAATAAAGTATAAAGATATCAATAACATGTTAGTTTACAGTTATTGTTATTATATTTAGAACAATTGACTAAATGATAATCTGAGACGAACCTTCATAAATCAAAAGTTGCTCCAGATATATAATTCTGAATTGGAATGGTTTTGCAGGTGCCGGACGGGTTGATAAGGGTGGACGATGTCCCCCTCCTTCCTTTATCATATCAGATCGGATCAGATGTTTTCAAGACTTCGGTTGTCCTGGGAATGAACTATGTTGTCATGGATACAGAGGAAGCAAGTGCAGTCCTTTTTTCCCTTTACAAAATTAAATGTTCGCAATAAAATGCTTTTTGCTACTTTCCCGACACTAAAACATGTTCTTTCTAAGTGATCATATACGTTTGTCGAATTCATTTGAAACTTAATACAGACTATGTAAGTAATTATCCATAGTAAATGTTATATCATATTAATATGTGCATTGTTTTCTTTTCGTTTTCAACCAATAAACGCGCAGTATGAGAGGGGAACTCAATACTACTGTGTATCTCAATAGATCACTGTCGTATCCTGTATACTTTATAATAAAAGAGCTTAAACAAAGTCAATTTTATCATATTTAATGTCAATATACTATGCTTATAAGCTAAAATTTTGACGTGGATTGCATAAAGCACTAGATAAAGAAATATTGAAATTAACACTTAATGTGCTAGAATATTCTCTACCAATTGAAAAACAAATACTCAAAATGGGATAATGTTCCTTAAAGACATAATATAAACAAAGGAGTTGATCTGTACAAATATGTCCACATTTACACTCTTTAGTATCTCTATAGTAAATTTCCTCCATCAATATCAGAACACACATTCAGAGTACGATACAGGCTAACAATCTCCTGTCATTCCCATTCAGCCAATTATATCCCATATATATTCGAAAACCACCCTTTATTGTCGCACTTTGAAATATATGTTGTTGTTTTATTTTGCCCTCCGGAACACTAATACTCAGGTAAATGTTACGCTCAGATTGACTAAAATCTACTTCGTAACAGCTTAAATTATCAACTTATCTACAATTCTGTATTTTAATACTATATTGCGGAAATTGGTCAATTGAAATGAGCAAACCTTAGAGGCTCTCTAAAAAGATGAAGGTAAAGACATTGTTTGAAACTTAATGCAATGCAGTTATAAAACAGATGATGCACGTGTTAAACGTTGCCATTCACATAGATAAATGGAGATAACGCCATATTTGTGTTATCAAAACTGGACTTGAAGCCAGGAATCGTTTTTTGGATCGGTAAAAAACGCACTGGTTTCCAGATGCATAATTCATTAATAATTAATATGATCAACTTAGTTTTTCAGACGAGCGTATATTTTATATCAGTTACGGATTTATCATATTTTATTAAGAGTTGAAAATATTTTTTAACTTGCTCAGCTTTCTGCATCGACTTACATGATTTTGTACCCTTTTCTTCATACTTCGAATGACTTTTTTACGTCAAATCTGGTTTACCTTAGATCTAGAGTTTGGCCGTAACCTTGCGGCTAAAAATTATTCTGGTACACTCAACAATGTATACGAGTTAAAAAAATATAATAGGATACAGGAGCGGCTTCAAAACAATAATCATTCGAACTCAAAATCGATGAAACGTGAGTAAATTAGGAATAAAACAAAAGATTTACATGGAGACCCTTAAAAACGTACAAGGAGAATAAGACCAGGTATCAAGGAAGGGTAAGAGTCTCCTTCTTCATCGACGACTCCCGCCATGTAAATCTAGGTCACGTCAAAGTAATGCCACTTCCTCATATTGAGAACTCGGGTAGTTGCAACAAAACCCCAAAGTGTACTTTTGAGTATTATGATTTCTTTTTATAATAAATAATTTTTGTAGCAGAAATTTGTGCGATATGGAACGTCACAAAAGGTTAAATAGACACAATTCCTGTAGGTGGTACTTCTGCATATGCCAGCGAGCAATTTAGTCATGGAATTTCCAGATCCCATTTAAGACCTTTAATTAATGTTTGTTTGCTTTTTTGATAAATGATTTCAAGCAAATAAACATCGAATCATTTTTACGTTTGATTTGCAATTTGTAAACAAGACTTTAATGCCAAACATTTTTAAAAGCTCAACAGATAAAATAATTAGAAACACGATGGAAGGAAGCATTTGTTTGTATTCCGTCTTTACGTATTGCAGAGTTATCTTCTCTTGTGAGCAGGTATTGATTGTTACGTCATTGGTTTGTGTGAGAAAATTCCGTCGTTTTCTCAAAAATTGATGACGTTCCTCTCACAAACAAATGATGTAACAATCAATACCTGATCACAAGTGCAGATAACTCTGCAATACGAAAAGACGGAATACAGAGAAAACCAATCAAAGTAAGATTTTATAACGCCATATAGCATATTCAACAATTCTAGACTCATCAGTGGTTCTAAAGTTCAAAAGGTTTAGGTAAAAGCGAAATAATATCACGTCATCACAGATAGAACTCGGGTAGTCATAAAAAGGAGGCACGGAAGTGTAGTGGAAGGACGTTGAACTCGTGAAGGGTTGTGAGTTCGAGTCACGTCACGGCACTGTGTTGTATCTTTGAGCAAGAAACTTTACCCAACTTGTTCCAGTCTACTCAGCTTTAATGAGTACGTGGTTGAGCAGTGCTGGAATTATTGAATGCTAGCTGTAAGCGCCGAATGGCAGCACCGTCTGCATGCTCCCCAAGACGACCTACGAACTTTGTTGTGATAAAAAAGGTATATAAGAACCTCGAATTATTATTATTATTGTTGTTATTATTTAAAGATTGAAAATCCATAAAGCCATCGAAAACATGTTTAATATAACAAAAAGCAATTCATATAACATTAATATTAAAAATGAGGATAAGTATTTTTGTTATTTTGAAATATCGGGAAATATCAACCGCTATAAAAACTACGTTTGCTGTTTTGTTCAGTCATAACTTTTCACATGTAAGCACCGTAGCAAAATGATAAATTATTAAATAGCACAGGTCTTGAATTGATACAAATCAGTCAGACTTAATATGATAGGAGGTATTTATGTTGTAGATTAATTACTAGATTATATGCCACATTTAAAGTCATTCAAATACAATGTAACTATGTTTATATATTTGATAAACCGGATAAATGGTTTCAATCGACTGATATAGCAGCTGATATGTCGTATCTGTTTTACTGCAACAAAGAAATAGCAAGATAACGTATTCTTCATTCAAAAACACACATTGATCATGCCATCTTAATGTCACGTTCTGTCTTCTAGGCAACTTGACTGAAGATGATCAAACAATTAGCTTAAGTACGAAACGAAATATTATGCCGATCAGTTCACTACACTTTATAAATATGCCGTTTGTTAACTCTTGGGTCTAGACGATGAATATTAAGATGAGCAAATGAAAATATATTGGCATTTTGTGGCGTCTGATAAGAGTAATTAACCTATTCTCTGCCGACTTTGAGATGGATGTGTTTGTCCCGTTGTTATATCACAAACACTGCATTAGAGCAAGAACTTTTAATATATCTTTACAATTACAGCATTATGTAAATAAATTTAGGCTTATTTTGATACGATTTCCACACATGATACACGTATCCAAGGAGAGACAACTCCTACAATGTTACAATGTAACAACTTTACTATTAATCTCTGTTGTACAGCACTCAAGTTATCTTTTCAATCAAATTGTTTTGAAAAAAGATTATTAACAGCAAGCACAATCCAATGTGAATGGGTTTTTTTCCATCAGAAATTGTTCGGGACTTTTCGGTTTAGGTTTAAAGTAATCGTAGACCACTGATGTCGTTACGTCAAATTCAGATTATAACGGAATTTCCTGTACGGTTTCCGACTGTACGTCACACATATATGTGTGTGTGTGAACATGGTATCAGTTGTATAACAAACGTATTTTGAAAATAAACACATGCATGACAATCGGTGTATAATTTCATAATTTGAATCGAAAGAAGCTTGAAGCAGTAATGATATAATGATTATTTCAGACATAAACAAAATGTATGTATTTTTCTCGTTGAAGAAACGTTTCATTACATTCATGCCAACCACACGACTTATTACATACTGTTCAAACGACCAAACGAATTCAGTTTTAAGCCTTCTCAGTTTCCAACAACCTTGTTCAAGGTAACGTTTTCCCCCTCTTTATCTACAGAGAACCGTTGGTAACGAAAAACAGAAGATAGTAACAAGGCACTAAACCTTCTGAGTGATAAGCATGTTTAGGAACAGGGCATACAAATATCCCCGACCATTGTCCGCTTATTCTTCACCATCAGTGTGATAACAGTTCTGAAGGATTCAACGCTCAAGCAGTGCAATAAACTTCAATTACTTGTGTGATAACCATTAAAACACGAGATGGTCTGTCTCGGGCTTCAACCGTCAGTGCGGCAACCGTTTAGACCTACCTAATGAACTGTAGGTTCAACCACCAAACAGAAAAATGCAATTACGCATGTTTCATAATTCTAGTGAAAATTGTGAAAACTGGCCATTTCACGCTTAACTCCGTGGTCTGTGTTGCACTCATTAGAAAGGATATACCTGTAATATATATGTAAATACAGGTGAATACCGAAGTGTCTACAAAACCATAAATCGAACTCAAAATCGATATAACTAGGGATAAATATGAACAAATTAAAGAATAACATGGGTACCTTTGCAAAAGAACAGGGAAAATCAGACCACGTGTTCCAAAAGGGGAAGCGTCCTCTGCTTCAACGATGACACCCGTCATGTAGATCTAGGTCAAATTCAAGTAATGTCACGTCCTCACATCGAGAAGACGTGGTAGTGACAAAAAAACACGGCAAAGCTATCAAACGATCATAATGAAAAACGCAAACCTTTATACCACACAGCAACATAGAATATTTCTCTTCGAAATCATGGTGGCGACAATAAATCTTGTCCACAGCCTTCATCAGCCTGTATCTGTCCATCAGACATTGGCACCTATCACAGAATTCGTGATAGTCGAAGCAAGCTTTTGAGGACCGAATCAACTTCGACATGTATACATCGTAGATGTCGCTATCAAGAAAAGGAAAGTCACCGATCGGCAGGTCGAAATCGTCCCGCAAATTGTACAGCTGAGTAGTAAGCCGTACCTGTGGGTCATGCTGTATGTAAAGATCGACAAAAGCGGCTGACGTAGAAGAGTGTTTTTTTTTTAATTCAACTGCTTGTGTGATAACCATTGGAACAGGAGTCGACAATCCACGCTTAAACAAGCCTTCAAACTTCAACCATCTCTGTGGTAAACAT